ACTTTTTTTTTGGCTTGGCACTCTTCAGTTCCGCAAACTCTTTTTTTGCAACACCAAGCCCCTGAATCTATCTTTTTTTTAGACCCTAACATCAATGTCGAAAAACCCAAATGAACATTTCTACAAAAAAAAAAAAAAAAAGAGGGGGGGGGGGGGGGGCAGGTCATTTCCGCTTTCTTTAGTTCTTTTTTTTTTCTTTGCGATGAAAGACGGGGAGAGGGGGACACCAAGTGATTGTGCACCTCTTCGAGAAGCTCGAGGCGGTAAGTGCACTGAAAAAAATTAACAATGTCTTTCTCGGTTATAGTGACTAGGACCATTTTCATAATGTCACAACACGAAACAACGCTCCGTCTACCCTAACCTATTTGTGAGTCAGCTTTTTGCAAGCACTTATAAAATGGTAATATTCTTCCTTTCTTCTTCTTCCTGTTTTGCCCCAGCAGGACGCGTCTTATCTCAAGCAGATATTTTTACAAATAAAACATAATGGTGGCTGACGTAGACTTGATATTCTGGGCTTGAGGAGAGAATGAAATTTGTGAGTGGGGCCATTGTGTGGCTTACTTAGTACTCTACCCTTTGCTGCCCGTGGCATCAGCGGACGTCTATCTGTCATCAGCGGACGTCTATCGTCAAAGGTACACACGGCAAACGTGCGTTTACATTTCCTTGTTTTGACCGACGTTCTAATTAATTCTTGCTATGAGTGTCCTTTTTCTTTTATTACTTATATTTATAAACTGGAAACTTTTTTTTATTCACCAACGTCTCAAAAGAGGCTCGAACTGCTCAGACCAAAGAAAGAAGAATATCGAGCCAAACCTTATTTATTATTTAGTTATCCCCTTACTGTTACAACTATGTTTTGCTGTTGACTTCTACAGCTTCGCGATTTATACAATGGAGAATTTTAGTAGATCGGTCCGATGACTCCGATAATGATATCCGATACTTCGCCGCCGTCTTTGCGTATGCATCATATCGTTATCGGGTACCGTTATCGCGGGTATCGGAGGTATCGGAAGGATCTACTAAATCTCTCGAATAGCAGGCAACGGCTGCAACGACGAAGCTTTCTTCTACATTCGAGGTGAATAGTACTTCCCTTGCTTCGCTGAAAAAGCTCAATGCAGAGCATGAAGCATTCGTTAGGAACAATATGGCACTCCCATCCAGTGCCTCAGCCCAAATGGTGTTCAGCGTATCAGTCGACATATTGAGTAAGAAATAACGCAAAATGTCTGACGAGACTTTCGAGAGCCAGCTGTTGCTCAAAATACTCAAGGTCATTAAATGGAACAGGTGGCAACAATAAGAACTTGAATAACCATCTTCCCTTTGTTTCTTACTTGAGGACAATAATGTTAAAAGTAACGCCACGAAAGTAACGGATTACTTTTTGGGGTAACGGTCAGTTACTTTCATGGGAGGGTAACTGTAATTGTAATAAATTACAATTTAGCCTCGAGTAATTGTAAATGTAATTCCTTACTATTTTTCAGTAACGTGTACAAGTCTGCTGCCCCCTCCCGCTCCAATCGAGGATCTCATGCCCATATAAGGGCACGGCCATGTGCCATGGCGTCTGTCTGGCGAGAAATCCCGGCTCGGTACTGTAATGTTAACATCAATAGATGTTTGTCGGTAGGCTAGCGAGGTATGCCGTCTTCGGTGCTGTTTACGTGGTGGGGTTCAAAAGGTCCCAGACTGGTGGGGAATGTCAGCTTTGGCACTGGAAACGATGATGGAGTCAACAACTGTTCACACTGGCGGGGAATGTGGGCTTTGACGCCAAGCACGTGGAGGCTGAGGCAAGGGGTCTCCTCAGTTGGGAGGGCAGAAAACTGATATAGAGGTTCATATGATTTTGCCCAGGAAGAATAGAAGATTAAGAAACAAAAACTATATGATTTTCATATTTGATGGAAAGTATTTTCAACTTTATTGAGTCCGGCTTGCTTCCGTTACCACACTTACCACCGCGGAAAACACAAAATGTGAATCTCGTGGAAAATTTATTTTGGGTGCAAAAACGTCTACATCGAAACTCGGGCTATATCTTAGAGGGATTCACCAGACGGCATATTTGAGTGCAGTGTTCACTGGGTGTGTATACTGTATTTTTCGGTGTATAAGACGGACTCCTTACTTTTCGCAAGTTTCAAAGTAAAAATTGGCATATAAAACGCACCGCCAAAAATTTTGAAAAAAAAAAAATGTGTCTTTTACACTGGAAGGTACGGTATTCAGAATGAGCTCACACTTACAGGTTCCCAAGACCAGCAGTCTTGATGATGTGGATTGAATGTTGCAAAAGCCCCGTGGAAGCTCGCCGTCAGCATGTGCTGAACAGCCACGCGCTCGGCTATGACCGCCAGGGAAAACCCCCTATAATTTGTTCCCCCTTAGGCTGACGGTGCACTGGAAGCTACATGCTTGTTGGACCAGTCCTATGTCCTTCAGGTGCACCCAAACAGGTCCAAAGAGCATGAGAACATCCATAATATTTTTTTAGAAATATGTATTCCAGTACCAGTATTTCTGCTTCTTACAGACAGGAGTTTTTTAAGTGTATTTTAAAAAAAAAATATCAATACTTGTGCTTGTTTTTTTGTCTTATTCGGTATGAACTTTTTAGCTGTCTTTGCCATGTATCCCAGTATTTTTATTCCGCTATACCTTTTAGAGCATATCTGCCCAACCCTGAAGCTTGGTGGCGCAAGCTGCCGCCTCATATACGAAACACAGCCAGTACAGCTGCTACTACCTTCTATCCTTCTAACTTTTTAAACATTCTGAACATGAGGAAGGCCGGCAAGACGCTGCCGTCTTCGCGTTGTGTGACACCACAGCGTCGATCGCTAGTACGATATCACCTGCTTCCTTCTGACTGACAAATTAACCAACACTGACTGACGGCTGCTTGACACACCCAAGGTCTGTCATGTCTCTCACATTGTTACGGTCGTTACGCTGTATTCGGTGGTGTCAGGATTATCAGCGATATCTGTACTATGAAGAGCTGGCCCTGCTGGAAGAGGTTTGTTCTTTCTATCTTTGAGACTTACAACTTGCGCTCGAAGGTCACATGACACTCGTGCGGGATTTGATTGGCTTATATAGCTCATAGCGTCCTCCGTGGTCCATCATAAGAAGAAATGACATGCTGCTCAGTAATGTGATTGCCGCGGCATCGTTTCGAATAACGTGCTCTCGTCTTCAAACATGCATGCTAGTTGCACTTTTCCGCACGCACCCGCGCTTTTCTTTGGTCACCGATGCGTTGCAGAGAATTGACACTAAGGAAGTTGGCATCACGGTCCTGCTATCTCGCTTCGCCACAGCGCGGGTGCGTGTGGACAACGACACCCCTCCAAAACAAAACAAAAAAGATTTAGTATCAGAAGAAAAAGAAAAAAAAAATTGGTGATTGTTGATGTGGCAGTTGCACCTTTCAGTAAAATTTTCAAAATAGAACTATGGCTAGTATATATTATAGGCTGTAGTATTGTGACAAATTGCCTGCATCAATAATATTTTTGAATTTTAGAACTAAGGGAGGATAGTTGTTGGGATGTAGTAGTGGTATAATTTCTAAACAACCTTTAATGTCTTTTGGTTAGGGTATCACCTCTATGTAGGCCTTCTACTGTTTGAGAGCACAGACAATTAAGTTTAATATTCAGACTGATCGAGCTCTAGCAGTGGATGAATAGAAGCTTGGGAAACAATCCTGCTTCAGCAGGGCTTTCTAGGCAGCCATATTTATCGTTCACATTCTTATTTTTGCATCATCATAAATTCAAACATGTAAAAGCCATTAATACGCATAATTACATTACAAAAGCCTTTTTTTTTTTTTACTGAATTTAGAATTTTACGGATATAATGTCTATGATCAATTGGGGTATGTTCTTTCTTGTTACATAATTTTTATTTCCTTTATGCATTTCTTGCAAGAAGAGGATGGCAAAGCAGAAAACTGCTATACTTGCGGCATAATGAGGCCTTGTCTCTTTAGAGGGATGCTGAACCAAAAACTGGATTCCACAAAACACGTTGGCCAAAAGCGTGCAACGGGATGCTACAAACACTATAACATCACTCATACAGCGATATGTCAAACGGATGACCGTATGTTTTCAAAAAAAGCAGGCGCATTTGACAGATATGTTGACGTCTTGCTTTTCCTAGAAGAGTCAAGAAGGAGAGGGAACGGCCTCGCGTCTTCTCTGCCTCGCCCCCTTGAGGGGGTGAAGCGAAGGGAGGAGGAGACGAGATATGTTGATGTCACGCGCCTCCTCAGCCTTGTTCCTCTACCTCTTTTTTCAGAAATACGGCCGTCCGTTCGAGATATTGCCTTACGAGTAGTGTTGTAGGGATTGTAGCGTCCCGCCTACAGCTCCTGCATTGTTTTTTGAAATGCAAATTTTTGCTCAACATTAACCCCGTTAGTGCCGAGTTGTTTTTTCCTGCATGCCAAACACAAATTTTAGTTTCGCTAACAGTGTAGCATATGCTCTATGAAGAATATTTATATTTATAAGAGACACCATTTTTTGGACAAAAAGAAATTGATGTCTGCCTGCCTCCAACCTATGACATATTTCTCGTATTGTACTTTTTGAGACCCGCTACTTTGCAGTGGCACCTCGACCTCGCACCCTGAGGTCACTGTTTTGAGCAGACCTTCTCGGCCTTTGTTTATTCGGAACTGTAAATTCTTTGTTTTTGCAGTCGTTGAATACCGAGGTCATTAGTAATTTCTAGATCTCATTGTTTGCCATGAAGTGCAATAGCAACCGACATGCTCACCTTCTACTCAGCCTTTAATCTTGCAGCCTTTAACCTTGCAGACTTGAGCCTCGCAACCTTTACCCTTGCAGCCTTTAGCCTCACAGCCTTTAGCCTTGCAGCTAAATATCAACACTTTTTCTCAATGTGTACTGTGCTCTGCTCAACCGTCTGTCAACTTCCCTTCCCTGTTGGCGCTACAGGAGCAGCAAAGCAAGCAGAGCGGAGTGAGCAGCTCGGAGGACGAGGACGCCTCGGATGTGGGCGCGAGGCGCAAGCGGCTCCGTGAACGGCAGTTTGCCAACAAGCCCAACACCCGCCAAGGGACGCGTTTCGAAGAGCTCATGGAGAGGGAGGGCACCCTGCAGGTAGACACTTCCCCAAGTTCCTCGTCTGAGGAGTGGTCACCCCCTCCCACCGCCAAGAGACCATCCCGAAAAAAGGGCAAGGCTTCGAAGAAGAAGGCCGACAGCCCTGATGCCAAGTCCGAACAACCAGCCGCACAAGGTATGCCGTCGCTGTTTTTTAAGCTTTTTGTCTTTTCGAGGCTGTACTATATTAAACGTCAACTTTTAATGCGGCGTTGCATTTATACGGAATCAAACTCGAATTTTGGAGCGGAGCGGTGCGTGCCACAGTGGAAGGTGTGCTAGCTGCCAAGAGGGTTAGGGACAACAACAACAAAAAGTGAAAGCCGCTTACAACTCCCTGTAACGCCGAATTAGAGCGCAGCTCTTGAGGAGGAGGAGGGAAGGGTACTGGGGGGGTCAACTTACCGGAGGGGGGGGGGGGGTCACGTGACGATGAAAATGCCGATGATGTCATCAGTGACGTCACTGATGACGTCACTGATGACGTCATCAGTGACGATGCGGATACCGATGACTTCACCAGTGATAATGACGATGCGGATGTCGGTGACGTCATCTGTGGCGATGGGATGTCGGTGACGTCATCAGTGATGATGACGATGCGGATGCCGGTTACGTCATCAGTGACAATGACGTTATCGGGGGGGGGGGGGGGGGGGGGTCGGGTCACGTGACCTCAGGGAAGTCACGTGACCTTGGTTACGCCGACGGCGACGCCGCTCAAGCCGGAAACGGGCGCCTAAGAACTGCGCTCTAAAGCAGAAGAGGCATGTGAGGGGACGCCAGGACACTGGAGCCTCTGAAATAACAAGAAGGAAAAAGAAAAGGTGCAAGAGAAGGACTGCCGACTTCATGCTCTAGCCCGGCTAGAGCAGTAAACAAAAACGACCGACACTGACCAACCTGGAGCACATGCAACATGTGCGCAAATTTATCTCTGGCAGACTGGCGATCACCTGTGCTTGTTTCGTGAGCACCAAGAGATCAAAAGGCACTTCATGCATGCTGTGCAATCTTGAGGTTTGTGGGTTGCCAGTTTTTGTTTGTTGCTCTAGCGAGACTTGGGCATTAAAGGCATTAAAGACATGGCGGTGCATGCCAAGAAGGCCGAGACTGGACGTCGCCATTCACTGTGTTCCTCGTGAAACGTAATTCTGTGTATGATGGTTTGATCGACAAATCAAAATACCGTCAAACTTTTTTTTTGTGTGTGTGTGTGTCATTTTTTTGAAGCTAGCATATTTTCAGCAGTGCTCTAACGCTGTCAAAGCTACTTACGTGAGCGCGTGGCTTCGTTTGAAGTCTTTTCTGCACGAGAGCGTGTTCGAATGACACTCAAGACACTCTCGGAGCAGTGCAGGGCTGCAGCACTGCGTAAACTACGCCAGCCGTGACAACATGGCTCAAGAGTTGACGCCTAGAATAGTATGGTGCCTGGAACATGTCTCTGACCAATTTGTTTAGCGTCCTGTACCACCCATGCCTCGAAGTGTCCTCAAAGTGGCAACAGAGTATATGTCGCAGGAGCCCCAGACCGCTGCGCCGTTTATGCACGAGTGCATAAACAGTAAATGTTTATGCAGTAGTGGGCACGTTTATATGCTACTTTGCTGCAGAGTCCTGTAGAAAGCCAGTTGATGTACACAGGAAGCTGAAATATGCACTGTCTCATCTTGCGGGTTTCTGGTATGTCCAATTCTGTCTTTTCTTTTCCCATAGACCAGACGTCACAAGATCAACCGGAGGCTCCTGCCTCGGACTCGAGCAGGGCAAGGAAGAAGGCCAAGAGACCAGCTCCCAAGACGAGCAGTGTTCAAAAGGATCAGCCTGGAGACTAGTCCTGCAAAAATGGCATTTGCACCTCATCTTCTCAGTCACCTCATCGACATTTTGTTGAGTTTATGTTGAGAGAAAAGTCAGTCCCTCTCTTTACGTTCACATATTACTACTAGAACAAATAAATATGTTGGATGTTTGAATCTGGCATGCTGATTTGTGTACCTGGCAACATTAGTCTGCTTTCTTTGTTAAGCGCCTCAAAAGCACAGAGCACGGCACAGTTAGCACGAACAAGAATCGCCAATGTTTTCTGCATTTTTCATTCAAATTGAAAGGCTGTCATCAAAACTTCTAGTGTAGCAGAAAGTGATCGTTCAGGGCATTAACCCGATGGGTAAAATTTGGTGCTCGTCAGTGCGAAAAGCATTGTTGTATTTGTGCTAGCTGTGTTGTGCGGTGTAGCCGATATGAAGAGGAGTGAAGCAATACACATTTGCAAGTACAGCCACAGGGCGCCGGCCATTCTGCTCAGTTGGGGTGCGCCTTGGCGCACGTCATAATCGGATTATGACACGTCCAAGTACACCCCTACAACTGAGCAAGATGGCCCGGCGCCCTGTGACTGTACTCGCAACCGTGTATATAATCAGCGATGAATGCTTGGAGTGAGGATAAGGCATGGTCGACGTCCAACCCGAAACCATTTAATGAGCTAATTGCCAGAAAAGCCCCTTCCCGACTTGATGCTTCTGTAAAGCAAATTGTTGTAGAAAATCGGTTGAGTCGTTGGATTTTCCACAGGATCCAAAGTCTTAGTGTCTTATCTAATGGTGCTGCTATAGCGCCGGTGTGAAACCACCAAATCCAGCTCCTTGGCACAGGTTCCTATGCACGTCCAAGAAATCTTCATGTCATGGCAGTCGTCCATTTCAAGATGCTAAAGGTATGTCGCGTATATCAAGGGAACTATGAAGCCTAGAGTCGCTGACAGGTCGAGAAACAGAGGGTGTTATGTTCACGCTTTTTGGTTCGCAATTCATTCTTCCGACGTTCTCATCAGCCAATGCCACAATTCCTTGGGCCTTGGAGCATAGACGAGCAATAATGCTCAGGACTCGCCCTGCAAGAAAGTTGTTGATAATATAGCAGTGCCGATTGTCCTATGCTATGCGCTTGTAGTTGCACTCAGCAACACAGAGTCCTCCAGTCACGACTTGCGCAAGGGTAGGGTCTCGGAGATGAAAGCCACCAGAAAGGGTCTTCCCTTCCCACTTCAAACTTAGAGCTGATGTGGATAGAAAGGGCAAGGCAGAGTCCACTTCCCCATCTTCGTCCTTTCACTACAGCAGTGCAAGACTGCACAAGCCAATACCACTTTTTTCCAGTGTGGCACAAACGGGTCAGAGTGTGCTTAGAGGCAGGGGCGGATTTAGAGGGGGGGTCCGGATGTCCTGACCCCCCTCTTGAATTCTGCGTGTGTAAAATTTAGGGTGTGAAATGAGAGAGAGGGGGAGGGGGTTCCTAAACAAATGGTACGTTGACCAACACCTGACCCCCCCCTCAGGAAATTCCTGCATCCGCCCCTGCTTAGAGGCATCTGCCATATTTCCTAGCACGCATGCGCATTTGAGACAAATATCTCGTCGAGCTGAAGGAACTCGTCAAGCCAAGTGCTGATCATACGGGACATGCAGGGTGGAAAAATTAATCCTTTTTGGGACGGAGTGTGTTAACTTATACCCAAGTATAACGTGCTCAACTCTGAACTCGACTGGTACCGCTACGGTCAGTGTTTCGTGGCACCCTGGAACACAAAAGCCTCTTTTGTATGAATTTGAAGTGGCAGGCTAATCCCCGATAAAACAAAAGTGACATTCGAGAAGCACGAAAGTCCAGGTAAATGGGGGGCTGCTCCTTCCATCCCCTCCAACTGCTTGTGTTACGCTCTTGCCCCTGTGCCTTTGAGTAGCCCCTGTGCCTTTGAGTAGGCAGGGTGTAAATGGAAAAGCCGTAATCCAACAAAGGTATAATGTAGCGCACACTCTGTGCCGGGGTTATTGGCAATGTGTAGTAGGTTTCCTCGACTTTGTTTCATACTCAACCAACCAGCAAACTCTCATCATTGGCTTTGTCAGAAATGCTGGCACAAGCTCCGGGCACCTGTGGTACCAGTCACGTAAATCCCCACAGGTGTGGAGATTTTGTTGGTCTTCAGTACAACGGTAGGTTTGTAAATTAAACAGAAAAGAATTTAGACACTTGACGCTAACATTTTTCCTCTCAGACTCATCTACTAACTTACTCTCATATACAAAGTTTCTATGAAAAGAAAAGGACATATTACGTTAGTATTGATGGAGCATTTCGGTTCAAATTTGCAGGAAGGAAGCAGTGTTCTTATGACAGTGGAAGCTATGATTCCCCACATTTCTTTTTATACATTGCTAATTAATAGAATAGGCTTTCCATGTCTTACCAAGGTCTTGAGTGAATATTATGCTGTTCTTTTTTTTTTTCATATTGGAGCAGATGGAATTGAATAAGAGTGGTGCCAAACTTGTGATAAAAATTAGCTCTGAAACTCCAACTGGAACCCTAGTTTTGGGTCAACAGTTTGAGGAGTGGTTGAAAACTTGCTCATTTTCAGATCACATTACTCAATCAATGACAAAATATGCAGGGGAAATGTTGAGCCTTACATTTATTTGTGTCAACTGTAATCAGAGTGCTAGAATGAGGAGTCTCAAGTTCCCCTGGAGTATAAAACATTTTTTTTTTCTCAATTGGTTCCGCTCCTAGTCTCGTCTTCTTCCTATACAAATAGCTCCGGACAATTTGGCAAGAATCATAGTTACGCCTCCCGAACGAGCGAAGCAATAAAATAAATGCTTTTGAGAGAACATAACCAAAACAATCGAGGACCACTTGCAGAAAAACGCGAGTTAACTCGCGCTTCACACAAAACAGTCTTGTCAAAAGGAAACAGGTAACAACAACATTCCCTCGAAAAAACCCAAAGCATAAAAATAAAACATACCCCCCATCCCACTCCTTCCCCTACAAAAAAATACACAATTCCAGCAGCTAAGTTACAAAGCAGTGTCGGTGGCAGTGTTAGTTTTTTCTCTCGTCTGTTTCGACAGTCACACGAGGACGTGCGCAACTGTCGAGACTTGGCCCACTTTCTCAAAACACACTCGTCGCTTTCGTTCACTCCAGGGGATAGCCCAGTGCATCGAGTCCTTCGTCAAGCAGTGGCAGCGACACCCCCTTGCTTCTCCGCAGTAACGTCTGCAGCTCTTCATGCCCGAACTCGCGGTACAGTCCCTGCTTTTCCGACGCCACGACGTCCAACAATCTCGGACAGTCCGCCGCCAGCCCTGACTCAAGCAGAGCCTCGTGGAGGAGGAACGTCAGCTGTGGTATACACAGACGCCGGAGCGCCTCCATCTGCCGTCGGCGCGCGTCGTCCGCCTGCTCCCGCTGGTCCACCATCCAGCCACCGTCCACGAAGAGCAGCACGTTGTAGACATCCTTCTCCACCTCCCGTGCCAGCGTGCTCACCGTGCCGCGCCACTGCTGCAGCTCCAGCTGGTGGCTCCTGACGCGGTGCTCGTGCGCCACCTTCTCCGAGAAGCGTGCCCCAGGGGCCACCTCTTCCGGTGGAGCGGGCTTGTGGCGGTGGAACTGCTCGAACCAGTCCTGGAAGCTCTGGTGCGCCTGGAGCAGCGCCTGGAAGCAGAAGAACTCGCGCACTGCATTCTCGTCGTCTGCTGCGGCTGACCGTCCCTCCGTCGTCCTGGGCCACTGCGCGGACACCACGTCGACGGAGTCCGAAGGTAGGCGCCGGAAGGCCTCGCGCGCGGCCGCCACCTTGCCTAGGCACACGAAGCCCCGCATGAGCGCGTTGGCCTGCTTGAGGGCCTCTCCCCGCGTCGATGGGTCGAAAAGCAGCCAGTCGAGCGAGGCCACCTTCCGGAGGTCTTCGGGAGTAACATCCGGAGATCGCAGCCTCGCAGACGCCTCCTCTGGAGCCGCAAAGTCGTCGTCTGCCAGCCGGACTTGCTCCACCAGTGTGCGCGTGATGAGGGGCACGTTGAGGCCAGCCTCCCTCGCAAGCGTCAGGCACAGTTCCCGCTGCTCGGGGTCGTCCTCCGGCATGTCCTTGAGCAGACGGACGTAGCTGGACACCTGGTCGGCAGTCGGAAGCGTGGCGGCGTAGGTTGCCACGAGCTCCGCCCGTCCCTCGCTCACCAGCTGCGAGACGTAGCAGCGCACGACGGCATCACAAGCCTCGCGGCTCGGAGCCTGCGACCCTCCCACCCGCCGCGCCAGGAGCACCATGTGGGCCGCGAAACGCACCGTCTGCATTGGAACGTTCACTCGGCGTTCCTCGTTGGCAAGCCACTCCTTCATCTCTTCCGCCATGCCCCGCACGTCGTTGAGGATGACGCAGCGCTGCACGACATACTCCAGTCCGAGCTCTTTCTGACGCGCGAATCCTAGAGTCGCCTGCAGGTCTCTGAACACCTCTTGCAGTGTCCTGCGTTGGTTCGGGTAGCCTGGCGGCAGAGGCTCGAGACTCCTGCTCTGTTCTGTCGCAGTGCGAAGCTCCTGCTCGATGCCCACGTCCACCAGGAGGCGCATGTGTGCCCACAGGAGGTCCTTCCACTTGTGGCAGACGGGAACCAGGCCCTTCAGGTTTCCGCAGAGGGCGGCGTAGACCGCACGCTCGTAGACGGAGCAGTTCGGACCGCTTACGGCATCCCACGCGGCCTCCTTCCACAGGTCCCTGTACGGGTTGCCCTCGGCAGGCTGTAAGGAACTTGCTCCGTTGAGGAGGCCGCCATAGTTGGGGTCGTGGTGGGCTTTCCAGCCTTCGAGCGCGGCGGCCAGCCAATGATGACCGTTCTCCATGGCCAGCTCTTGAGCCCTCTGCAGCTGACCCTTGCGGAGATGGCAAAAGACGTTGCGGAACAGGCGGCACTCGTCCTCGCGGTCTTCGTCGTGTAGTGGCTGCTGCAGTCGCGAGGGGGCGTCCGGGTCGAGTTGACTGACACAGTTGGGGACGCCGCCATCGCCCTGGGACTGTAACCGGTACAGCGTGTTCTCCCACGCGCAGCCGCCGACGTCCGCGAAGTACTCGACGCGGTCCTCGGACTCGTGGTCGAGGGCGGCGCAACGCTCCAGCCAATCCACCACCAGTTGGGCGCGCCGGATGAGCGCGTCTTTCGCGTAGAGCGCATCCACTATCTGGCGGTCGCTGGTCTCCTTGCCGCCGACGCCGTCGACGGTCATCTGTTCCTCGTCGTCGAGCTGCTCGACGGACTCGAGTTGGTCGCGAAGTAAAACCTTGGTCAGCTGCCAGGTGTTGCGTTCTTCCGTCAGCAACGTCAGGCAAGACTGAGTTTCCTGCCACACCGCGTCACCCGTTCTGGACAGCATTCGTTCGGCTACTTTCTTCAGCTTGGCCAAGTACTTCTCGCACAGGGCCTCATATTTGTCGAGCAGGTCTAGGATGTCGTGCTCACTCGCGTATGAATGGTAGGCTTCCATGAACTCTGCGTAGATACCTGCTGTGGCAGAAACCGCCGGATGCTCGCTGCCCAATGCGGCGGCGGTGAACAAGGTGACATCGGTCGCTCCGGGATTGGCACTAGCGTTGACAGACCTCCGAAGCAAGCCGGTTCCACAGTCCGTTGTGGAGTAGATGAGGGTGTCTGCGACGGCAACGCGGCTGCCATTTCGTCGACTCGGAGGCCAGGGAGACACTCTTCGCGACGAAGGCGAGATGCTGTCTTGAGTCCGTTGTAAGAAAGACCGATTGCTGAAGCGACTGCGCGACCGCTCGGGTACCGGCGTGCTCAACTGGCTCAGAGAGTAACCTAGCGAGTCGCTTAAATTGGGATCCATAGCTGCGTTTCGCGCGAGGAATACCTTGCGCAAGTTCAGACCACTTCCACAAACAAAATGAATGAACGGAACAAGCACATTTTTTGAACTCGGTAAACTACCGCATTTTTAGGCTTAGCGCGAAAACCGCGTAAAAGGAACACATGCATTGTTGGGCCGCACAGAGCGCCATCTGCGAAGGCGTACAGAAAGACGCAAACGCCGTTACGTAACGCATTAAAAATTACCAACGTAAATGGTACATAATGGTCTCGCGGAAGTGTATTTAATCGGATATGTACAAAATGGTAAGTTACATAGCTTAATTTTACAAATTTCACCGGTAGCTTACGAGGAGTTTAGTTTTCTTTTCTAGCAGCTTCGCGGATCCGCCGAGCGGCGGCGAAACAGTCGCCTTCGCTGTTTTTGTCCGTCTGCTTTCTGGTTTTTGCTCTGGCCGTGCACGGAGCTGTCGGCCGGTTGGTTGATCCGTGTGTGCGATGCGAACTTCGCGTAGTTCGCCGTAACCGTTATTTCAATGTGGATGTCTCCTACTCCACGACGCACGACGGACACACTGTGATACCTTTAAAAAAGAAACCCAGGTAAGCCTTGCTTCCTTCGCTGCGTGCGCGGATAGCGCCCCCAGTAACACCTCACGCCACTCATTGATCCGTCGTCGCTCCCTGCATGCTCTCTCTTTTTCCCTTCCTTTTTATTAGTAGGAAGTATTATTAAAGATCTGACATGCGCGAAGCTGCATTCGCGCGAAGGTCTCATTCGTCCGCTCGCGTCTCTACTGCGTTAAAGCCACTGTCGTGCCTCGGTTTATAAACTCTCGGACATCGAAGATGACGGATACAGGGACACGGCACTACTGCGCGCTGTCCTTCCGGTGCCCTAACCTAACGCGGTTAGGACATTTCGGCACTTCCGTGGCTTCCTCGGGCCAAGTGTCATGTTGCATCTCCTATCGGCTGTCGCTTTCGTTGCATCCGTTGCATCGCTGTGATTGTGAGACAATATGTCTCGACGTTAGTAATTATCGCCACCAGCTGGGGCCACTACAACAGCTCGTATTTATTCGATTAGTTTTTTTTTTTTTTTTTTTTTTTTTATTATGTACGTCATATATTAGTGGAGAAGAGCCATCGGCTGCTCATAATTTGCTTCATCTCTCCATTTCTTTTATTTATCTATTTTTGTTGTTTTAGTGTGTTACAACTCATAAGCCGGCTGCGTCTTGTCTGATTGAAATATATAATCCCGAATATTTTGCCTTTTTTTGTCGTGTCTTATATTTAAACGTACATATTACGTTAACTTCGTTTCTTGTGGAAAGGGGGGGGGGGGGGAGGGAGGGAGTCGGTTCATTACAGTACATGCAGTGTCTGTTCCGCCAAATAAACCCGGTAACGTCCCGGTTTTTTCCCTTCTTTTTTTCATTTTGTTAGTTTAAAAGGAAAAGAAAATGCGAAGTGTGCGCGCATAGAAAAAATATAAGAATATGAATAATTCCTCCTCAACCAAATCTTTGGGCATCGGGTTGAACCACGAATAATCGATAACGACGAACGTATCCAACGTAGATGATCAATATCTTTTGTACCTCTTCATTTTTTTCTTCTTTCCTTTATAAGGCAATAGTACCAGGGCATTGAGTGCCAAACACAGCTGTCACGTCTCGTTGCTCCTTACCTTAATTTTTTTTTTTTTTTAGGAGATTTTTTGGTTAAGTTTTAGCGCCTTCATTTTATTGTTTAACTTTTTTTTTTTTATTTTTTTTTTTTACGGGTCGTTGTTGGGCTTTGCTGTTCTTCTATTTACCCCATCCCCAACGGCCACAAGCAACTATTCACATTACCTTCGATCGTAGACTGACAGTTAAAGAAATGAGGGGCGCGGCTTATTATGTTAATTCACGCGTCCTGCTTCGTGATTGGTTCCCGGGCGTCCTTATCGGTGAATGCCGCAATCTGACTGGCCGCGGAGCGATAATGAGATGCACGGGACACGCCACGGCCCTGCGTTTCTTAACATGTCGGTGACTTCTAGTAACCGGAGTGCACAAAGGTGGTGCGGAGAAGTCCCCCCCTTGTTGTGGCGCGGTCATGGACCAAGTCGGAGTTGGCTGGGTCTCTGCTTTCATCGCGTTCTCGCCTCGACCGTTTGGGAACACTGCCAACTTCCGCGTGTCTAAACTTAAAACGAACGGTATGTATGTACACACACGCATGTGTTTGCTTTCTTGTCTCGCTAGCGAACGGGTAAATTAAGCGCGGAAACAAGTAGTAAAGGTCTCCCAGACTCCATACAAAGAAGGGGGTAACTAGTACGTAGTATATGGGTAGGCGATTATTGATTTAATTAATGCGTTCGTCACGGTGAAATATATATTTTTTTCTTTATCGGTTCCACAGGGTGTCACAACAAAAAATTTACACATTCTTTTTTTTTACCTCAAAAAGAATCTAGGCATCGCCGAACGCTCATTCTCCGCCCAAAGGTAGCGCTAGAGGTCACAACCAGATGCCAAAGTTTCAGCCCGATCCGATACCTGAATCGAAAGTTATAAGTGATTTTCTGAAAATTTCAATGGGAAAATGACAGCAGAAGACGTTTTCGAATACATGGGGCTCTAAGGGCACCAGAAACCGAAAGCGGGCAAAAATGGCCTCCATTTTCCCATTGAAATTTTCGGAAAATCACTTATAACTTTTGAAGAAGGTATTGGATCGGGCTGAAACTTTGGCATCTGGTTGTGACCTCTAGCGCTACCTTTGGGCGGAGAATGAGCGTTCGGCGATGCCTAGTTTATTTTGCGGTGAAAAGAACACTGTAAATCTTTTTTTTTTGTGACGCCCTGTACATTGTATATTGTGTTGTTTCTGAGTTAGAAATTTCGACGGAGGAAAAATGCTTGCTAACTACTTTCGGCGCATTTATCCATTTTAGCAGTTGTACTCTACGACAATGCAATTAAGCATTCATGCTATTGTCGTCAGAGCGAACATACGGTTTACATAAGAATGCGGCACGTCTTTCTGTTTCAAATGAAGCTATAAGCATACCGTCACTGATAACATGCCCCCCCCCCCTTTTTTTTCCGGCCAAAAACAAAACAAAAAAACATTACATTTTGACTTTTTTTTTAGATATTGTGCCTAACTGTTAACGCAATCGATTAATCGATTAATTATTTGATTAAAGGGTAGCAATTAATCGGGTTTAAAGTTTCAATCGACGCCCAGCCCTAGTCTTTAGTCCTTTAGGAAAGTAGCCGGTTTTGCTCCGTGTTTTTTTTTGTTTTTTTTTTATATATATATATATATATATAAATTTTTGTGGGAGTTACTGCGATTTGCACCCTGTAGGAGGGCCTGAGGAGGAGGGTTACCCCTTAGGGGGATCAAGTTCTGCCTTTTAAGCGAACGTACCTTCTTATCTCGTACATATCATACATGAAATACGCCGGTTTTGTTCCCACCTACTATTGCATCCCCGCATAGGAACAGTTGGCAGCAATCTTGAATGGGTTGTAACTTGCAGGCCGTTGAAAATCAAGCTGCATTGGCTGCACACCGGGGAACGAGACGGGTGGTCTATTTGAGTAACCCACGTGTCTTTGAAAGCCTCTGAATATGGAATTTCCGCTTTCTAGATCATGTAGAAGCGAATAGATATATTTTAACCTCTAAAAGCTCAGACGACCCGTTGCATATTAAACTTATTATTTATACTTTTGCAGGTGCCTTGATGCTGTTTTTTTTTTTATATTAAGTATTTCAAACTACTCTTGTTTGACATTCTCAAATTATGAGCGAATAATTTGAAATGAAAGAACAGAATAAGTAGTTTCATTGACACCTTTGTGCAATCCAATAATATACCCTCGAAAGCTACTGCTTTCCTCTTCAATAAATGACGGATATTTCCTGTTTGTGGGTCGTTTAAAGTCTCATTGTGTAACTTACAAACTCTCAATTATTCTCCTTATTATTATTATTTTTTTTTTTTTTTTTTTTTTTTTTTTTTTGCATTTAAGACGCGTGATTTTTTGCAGTCGCGGCTGACGTACGAAAAGAATACCTTACGAATGTCTCCAGTGTCGTTTTACAAGGGTCGGCGGTGTCGCGCGAGCCCCCGTTATTAATAAATCGAGGCGGCGACTCGAAGACAGTCGACCGGCCGGTGGTCCCGTTGGAGCCTTTAATGGAGGAAGTCTCATCGGGGACCTTACCGGAAGTGGAATAAATTTTGGAGGGGCCGGGCGGGGCCGTGCTCGCTCATTCAATTCCGCGTCCCACATCCCGGAAGTCGTTTTTGCGGACAACGTGGTCGTCGGTGGCAAATGAAGGTTGGATTAAAAAGGAAAGTCGGTCCGTCAGAAAGTGACTTCATTTAATCTATTTTTTTTTCTTCTTGTAACGCGCTTGTCGCGTGAATTCTAATTTAAAAAAAAAAGGGCGTCTTTAGCGCGTTTAGTGAAAGTTGAGTGACTTCTATACGCACGTGTTTTGGTCATACGTACTGCTAAATTACGCAAGCATCAAGGAGAATGCTGGGAATGTAGGTATACGGGCCGCACGCGCTCGCCTTCCCAGTATAAAAAGAATCGAAGTAAATAACCAAAATATGGCGTTAACGAACACGCGTGCAAAATACCTTTTTTTTTTTTTGGGGGGGGGGGGGGGGGGGTTGTTTTAGAACAGTTACTGCTGCAGACGCCATCACGTGCGGCACATACCCTCTAAAAAAGTCTGTGCGTCTACTTTCACGCACAACACTCGGAGAGCCAGTGACCGCAACTTACGGAGGCAGCTCAGCGAATGACGATGCGGAAACATATGCTAAGACCAAAAAACACAGTCTGAGTTGTGACATTAAGCAATGCAAGAGTGACGTTTTGCATTGCTTAATGTCACAACTCAGACTGCGTCTTCTGGTCTGAACATATGTTTCCGCATCGTCATTCGCTGAGCTGCCTCCGTGATTTGCGGTGATTGGGTCTCCGAGTGTTGTGCGGGAAAGTAGACGCACAGACTTTTTTTGGAGTGTAGACCTCCCAGCATTCTCCTTGATACACGGGTAATTTAGCAATAGGTCTATTATCTTCCTGGCGCTCTTAATATGCAGGAATGATTATGACAGAAAACTTGTACAGAAATTTCCGACATACATGGTGTAAATCACAGGCCTTCGTTAAACTATTAAAAAAAAAAAAATAGCGACGACCAAAAGCGTCACTGTGATCGCAATTCGCGACTGTTCAAACGCTCACGGTGGCGTCATTATTTGTATTAATTTTTCTTTCATGGATGGAAATCGGCGCAATGCTAAAACTGTCAGCTGTGATGATGTTGGTTTAAGGATGAGACGACTCCAAGCTTTCGTTGTTATATTTACACACGCAATCGCGCTTGTAGTTCGCAATAGGTGATGGGTAGTCAAGATCCTATAACTCATGACGTCACGGTGACGCAAATTCTGGTCGTGACGTCACGAACGGAAACCATAGACGCCGTGCAAGTGCGTGCAGATAATGAGATGCTCCTTGCACACCCCGAGCATCTCATTATAACTTGGCGGTCAATCAGACTGCTGT